CAGGAATTGTTACACAAATTAAGCATTCTCATTTTTTTTCAAACGATCAACATTTTTAACTTACACAACTAAAATCTTCAGCACTCCTGAGGATGACATGATACGCGTTGAAACACGTAGTGGTTGTTTTGAGATTGTTAAAAGATCTCAGAATAAAGATTTTAATTGTGTAAGTTATAAACGTTGATTATTTGAAAATTGTTAAAAACATTTTAGTTTTTAATTATTTTTACACAAGTTCCTTGAATTTTAACCTTTTAAGCATCCACATGATTGTGATATCCACTGGAAAGATAAGTTTCCAATGGCACAAGTATATATATGCTGACATAGCATCAACAGTTTGCCCTACACATTATCAGCAAATCGTATAATGTGTGTGTATATATATATTCCAATAATTGTGAATACAGTTGCCTCAGAAGAACATCATATCAAAGTGAACAGCTCACCTGTTGACAAGAATCTCTAAATTATTTTGAGAAAGCAGACTCTATTTAATATTCCCTAACATTTGGAAGGTGGGAGTGGAGAATTATAGATAAGTGAGACATGCTTGCAATGCATAAAGGGCATTCATATTTCAGTCTATCTGATTTAAATAATGAATATCTGAAGCATCTTTGAAATTCAAAAGCAAATATATTTGTATCTGAACTATATTCTTGGTATCCACATGCTCACTAATTTATCTGCACCAAACATTTTTACAATTCGAATTTGTATCAATTTTCAACATTATTTCAGATTATTTAACACCATTGACACTTCAGAATTTAGTAATTAATTCAAAGCAATTATTTTCCTATTGGTACATAAGAACACTGGCTATTGTCAAACTAACACAATCACTCTCACAGGCCACCTACATATTGTGGTGAACTATAGGTAATAACAGTAACAATGCAATCACAAATTTATTTGGCAATTTCAACCAGAGTGATAAGGGATTCATTTTCAGTGAATATGAATATTCAAGGAATAACTTCTTTTATGTGACAGCCTTGGTAATTTTTCTGATGGGACAGGAAGAAGTTATGAATGTGACTGAAATTTTAACCTTAAAATTCATTGTTAATTGTATATAAATAATGACTGTTTTGGTGATTAAAATATATGCCATATGATAAAAAGTCCTAAAATTGCCTTTCAATAATAATATACCACTAAATCTTTTGAACAATAAAACTTTTGTGCTCAGTGGTTCACCTTTCGCAGAGAAATCTTTTTTCAAAAATGAGTTCTTCCTCCCATTTATTATCAAGATTTTGGTATAAGTCCACTGTTTTTTGCAAAGTATTTTACCTACAGAAGATTCGTTTTCAGTGCTGAGCTACTCAATATATATATATATTGGGAGAATGTCCAAAAGTCATGTTAATAGTTTCAGTTGTAAATGCAAGGTTGGAAAGTGTAATATTTACATAAAATGCAAACATTCTAGATATAGTAACAGCGAGGTTCCTGTGGATTTTTTCTTCTTCAAAGTTGCACCAAAACATAGAAATCTCTTTATGATTATTTCATAATTTTAAGGTTAAGAAAATAAAATTAAACACACATGACATATTATTAGAGTTAACAAGAATACATTTTTTGTGCCTTGGTTAAGAAGAAAGTTCATTTGTGCTATATTAACATAGATGTTTGCAACTTTATCATTACTTTTTTCATAGTTGTGTAGTTTAATTACATAATTATATTTTAATTGGGGTGAAACTTTACATTTTGTGATGCAACTGTACATAAAGTGTTACAAATATTTTTAATTAGTTATATGTTATGATTTGTTACATAGTTATTGTAAAAGAGGTTATATAACCAAATTTTCCAAATACCTTTAAGTATTTTATTTCTTTTATAATACTTTATCTGCCACTGATAATACTGCACAGTATTGTATGTTGTTCAGTGGGTGAAATATTCCAAAAAAGTTAATTACCCTCACAGGAAGGTAACCTTTTTGTTCACATTTCCTCGCATTTCAATGATTTCCCTCAAAAAATATGACTGTGAGAAATCAACAAAGAAAATTCAATTCCCTCGCACTAAATACATTTTCCTCTATTTTAACCCAACAGTAGCATATAAGTCTGGTAAAATGATAAAACTATTTATTAATATTTGTCTTGAAATAAAAACAAATTTAAAAAACAATCCCAAGATTAACACACAATTTAAGTTGTGAATCAGATAATTAAAGATGACCACCCACTTTCCTTACACTGCCAAACTGCATATACTTATCTCTTTGGAAGAAAAAGCAACAAATTTTCGAAAAACATGTAAGAGAATAAAAAAAAAACGTGGTCATCATGGTTTGGATAACCTCTGTATAGGTGAGGGGTATTGACATCTTGGTCTCATTTCCTGTAAGTTTGCAGGAAATGAAGGATAACTCAGTGATTTCCCACACAGAATATCTGGCCTTTCTGTTAACTTCCCCTAATGAAACTTGATTTACTCGAGAAACAGGAAAAGTGTAAATTTTGACCCCTGCTGTTATTGTATCTTCATCAGTATATATGCATTATACTTTTAATTTCAGATACAAGTAATCTTGAACATCAAAAATACCTAAAATTAGCAATTTCTTCAATCATCTTCGTGCAAAAACATCAAGTTAAAGCTCAAACGTTTAGTAATTATAATGTACTAAAGCATAATATGATAAGTCAAAAAAACAAAAAACTGTTCAAAGGAACAGCTTGCATACAGGGTAATTACTTCAAAACAAAAAGTTATACAATGTTAGACATACATAACTGTTTCAATTTAAGTTTAATGCGAGTATTATGATTTAGATATTGTATCTTTAGAAGCAATAGCTTATCCCAGGTTTGGTTACATAACTTTTTACAAATCATACATTCTGTAGTTCAATTGTGAATTAACAATTATTGTATTACTGCATCATTTACTAGAAACTTTTAAGTTTTTGTCATTGTTTTGAGTATTATTGCATCATAATGTCTTGTTGTTTGTGGAAAGTTCTAAGCCTTTGTCGGGGTATAAGAACAAATCTATAGTGTAGTTTCACAGATATATATAGATAGATCTACATCGCATGTGTTTGTGAGTTTCGCCATAATGAGCATATAGTGGTGATTTTTAAAGTATAATCATCATAGACTGTATTGCAATAACAGAGTAGAAATTAAGAATTTGTTTTGTCAATTGTGTTTTAAAGTGACTGAACCAGTCTATGTGGACTTCGACCAGAAAAAAAAAAGAATAATTTAAGTTTTATATAGCTCTCGATACAACTCTGGTAACCTATAGTTATAGAGGCAATTTTAAAGTATAAGTATCATAGACTCTTTCTAATAACAGAGCAGGAAGAATAATTCATCTTGTCAAATTATGTTCTGAAGTAACTGAACCAGCTTGAGTGTAATTTGACAAAAAAAAAGAAGATAATTATTTACAGCTCTAGATACAACTGTGGTAATCAACAATATAACAAACATGTGTGTATATATATGTTTGACTTATTTTAATATATTATTTTAAAACAAGTGGACTGTGTGCTGTTTGTTTATTGTTGAAGTTTATTGTCAACAAGTCACAGATACCTAATGTAAAGATTCCAGCTATACACATCCATACATATATAAAAACCTGACAAACAGCAACTTTTACAGTAGGCAAGTTCTAATTTCCTCAATTACAACATTTCGAACCATAGTATTGAGTCATCATCAAGTTAGAGTTACAATCAAAAAGGCAGTTGATCTCCAGAGAAGGTTACAGGCTCATGATGGTGAGGACAAGTATGTAGGTGGCATTAAATTTGCTTTTTTGTAGTAACATACGGTAGATAAAGAGGAGTTTCCTGGATATTTATTTAGCATTGGTTTTGATTACTTTATTTTTAGTGCTTCAGCTACTTTTCTTCTGTTGATGTATGGTTTTCTTCAGATGATTTTAACATTGTTTTCAGTGATAATCTGTTTTGTTTCATTGAGGTTTTCAAAAAACATTTGAGGGTTATTTGAGATGTTCCTAAGTCTCACACTCATTTATCTCCTGTTCCTCCAATAAAAAAGTGTTTACATGAATTTCATTTGATATTTTAGATTACTTCATTATTTACATTTTAAGTGAGGTAATTGTAAGTATAAGATTTCTGAGTTTAATACCTGTCTTTTTGTATGATTATAGTATTTATGTCAATGTTGTGTTTCTTCACAAGTCATTTCAGTAACCCAATTAGGTTTTTGCTGATATTTTCAACATAAGGAATTGTAATAGTGATCAAGTTGAAGCTGTTTTCATCTTTAAAATTTGTAATTTTTTTTTATGGTTTGATATTTTTGGATTTTGGAATGGGACATTTATTTTTTAAAAACTTCTTCTGGATAGTTATATTTTTAAACTGAATATTTTCAAAATTCTTTGTAGTTCATTGTCTAAAATAGAGAGCATATATAAAATGCTATTTGCATTTCAAGGTTCCTAGTTTTTGTTGTATATTAATATTCTATTCACCTCATTTTACTAAAAAAATTAATTGAACACTATCTTCAAACTTCACCACCATGACCTGTTGCATTATCTGGAATTCAACTACCTTTATGAATGTAACTCTTACCTATTTATGACTCATTACTAAGGGTAAAAATGTTGTAATTATTAAAATCAGAACTTGCCTATTGTAAAAGTTGCTGTTATTTTTTAAAAGTAATTATGTTTATCTTAGTTTTTTAAATGGAGTATGCTTGTTTCATGCTTAAATTTTTATAGGAAAGCTATCTGAAGATTTGCAGTTAGAACACAGTATAATAATCAAACTAGAAATTTTCCTACAAGACTGCAGCATAATGAAATCAAATTACAACTATTAATTTTTTTTTGCTAAAAAAATGTTAATTATTCTTTATTCTTCTTTTATTGCATTTATAATGCCAGTAAAAGTTAAATAACTAATTATAAATAAATTCCTTGCTTAGACAAAAATATTCTACATTAAATAAACATAATCATAAATATTGAACTACCTGGAATACACATTGGTTCTGAGTTCCACTGTCCATCATTGCAAGTTATTTCATTATTTTTCCATGTACTGTTTAAAAAGCCCATAAACCAGAAGTTACGATTACATCTGATTACAACCTTCTCCCCATGAGCCAATGAGGTGTTTTGCTCAATCTAAAATAAAAATACACAAAGAATTCTTTATAAAGATGTATTGGAGATTACTTGTAATCACTAAGTACTATAATAGACACATCTCTACAGGAATCAATTGCCATATACAACTATACACTGCAGGAAAGTTAACCTTTTTGTATTAAGTGGGACAAACTGGGGCAAACATGATGAATTCATAAAAGACAATCAATTTTAAAATTAAAAACAATAAAGTTGCAAATATCACAATTACTCATAAATAACTTTGCAATTTGTTCTAAAACACTTTCGTTTTTCTTTATTGCTTATCAAGTTTGAAAGAACTCCTTAAAAATAACATGCTTTTCAACCCTTCAATCACCACATATGTTGTAGAGTTTTTCTGTGGGTTACCTCTAAGGCAAAATTAGATCATGAGTAAAAGACTTGTATTCATACAGAAAATTTCAATTGCATATTTTCTCTATACTGATCATGATTTGTGCTAGCTTTACATTATTATATGATCATTTATACGTTATATAATGTGTACAATACATTTATGAAATAATGATATCATTTAGTATTTTTACATTGGTCACTGAACTGAGTTAACTGTCTCTTTAGCCTAGAATCCATACTTTTTTTTATTATTATTTACCATAACCTTGAGCAGCATTAGAAAGAGAAAAATAAACATATGAATAAACGTTATGCAATATAAAAATAAATAAAATATTAGAATAAAAAATGGGTCAACAGAAACAAGGATGCACTTTCAAGAGAATCAACACAACTTGTGACATATAGAGAAAACACTACAAGTTTTTCAGATATTCCTTTCACCAACCTACAGCAAAATACTGCTATTATCAGCATAGCCATATCCCATCTGAAGTTCCTACTTACTTCAGTAGAGACCAACACATCTGTTAGTTTAATAAAGCTTTCTTCTAAATCTGTTTGGTACTTAATATGAGTTTTTAATTATTTGATTACATTATTGCAATGCAGATATTTATATTTCAGAAGAAAACTCTAAATGTTAACGTTTTCTTGAATTGAAAATGTATTTCTTCCTTTGCCCATCTAGCATTGGTCTAAATTTTTCTCACTTGCTCCATTCTTTTATTTTCCACTTAATTGCCCATGACGATATCTGTCATGTGACACTCTCCAGCTACATCAATGTACCATCGATCCTGGTACTATATATAAGCCCCTTATTCAGATAATATTATCACTTTCTCAAGATTGACCCAATCCACAGTCTCTAACACCAGTTCTTAGTAAGTAGGAAGGGCGGGAGAGTGTTAGCAGAGGTAAGTGTTATTAGAAATACATTTTTGATTTAAGAAAATGCTATCTTTCAAAACATACCTCCTCTCACACTACAGCTAGAATCCCACATTGATAAGCTGGAGGGGCCAGTGAGGGCATTATTCATACAAAATGCATCTGCATAGATCATGGGTGTGCCAATAGAACCTTAGCATCCTTGTGGGGAAACCGCACTACATCCATAACAGGTATGCTCTTCAGCCAGAACCCAAGTTGTGCCTGACAATAGGTTGGGATGAATCAATTGGAAGGCCTAGAGGTGTAATCCCATCCCATCCCATCTTGACAAAATGCATCTATCGCCAATGCCCGAGGGTGAAGTACCAGAGACCAAAATGCTGGTAGTTGGGTATTCCAATGAGTGGCCAACACATCAATCATCAGTGTTTTGAAATGAGAGCAAATAAAAACAAACAAAAAAAAACTACGCAATGCAGCATCCATTTTGTCAGGAGAGTCCATTTGGGTCGTTACAACTAATCTGCCACCGCATACACCACCCCCTGGAACATGACAAGCTAGAAGGGTGATATGATAGAAGTGGTCCTAAGAAAGAAGATCCAAGGTTCGAAAAGAAAGGGCCCTGAACCAAGTGCCCCTTGACAGGTAAGGTAAGACACTACAGTGGAATTGTCGTAGTGAAGTCTAACAATTTTACACTTACAAATTCCAGACCATGAGACATTACTCTTTGAACAGCAAGAAATTTTAAAACATTGTGTAGGGAAGCCTCGTCATCCATGCATAAACCCTGACCATTGAGATATACACCACACCCCTGAAGTGAGGCATCCAATAAGTGATGGATCTCTGGACGAGGTGGTGGCAGAGAAACACCTATCATAGTATTGTTCCAATCTAACCACCACTCGAGATCGAAGATAATGATCCTGGAGAAGGAACTGAGGAATCCAGTGGTTGGTTATTCATGATCCATTGGTCACATAAAGAGCACTGAAGGGACCTCTTTTATGCTCATCTCTAAGAAATGAGAGATTCGAATGATGCCCACATCCCCAAAAGAGAAAGAAACATCTGCACAGTGGGAAAAGGAGAGGCAAGTAAGAGTTGGCCTGCCTGTTCCATAGCTTGGAGCCAGATGAAAGTTGATTGAGCCCAACTGAGATACCTGTTGAAAAAGATACCCAGACTGACAAAATATTGTGTTGGAGTGAGAACAGAAATCTCAGCTCTGATAATGAAGCCTGCCTTGGTTGCTTCTGAAAGTAGGATCTGGGAGTTACATTCTGTCAACTTGCTATATGGTGCCAGCTGTAACCAGTCGTTCATAGAATGGTTTCTGCACAGGCCTAGGGAAAGGAGGTGATGAGAAAAACTTGTACAAATCAGCAGAACACATATAGTGCTGATGCTAGTCCAAAGGGCAGAGACCTGAACTGCTGTACCTGACCCTTGTGCACAAAATGAAGATAGTGACGGGCCATCACCGCTATGGAAACATGCAGATAGGAGTTGGTGACATCAAACCTGGATATCCATAACCCTAGTAAAAATTGCCAATGCAGAGTGAGAAAGGACTTCATTGTGAACCTTGGAGGATCTAGGAATTGATACAGATGAGAAAGATCAATGACTGGATGCCAATCTCTTGTCTGCTTGAGCACAACAAACAGACAGGAATAAAACCCAAGAACTGGCACGACTCTCTCTACTCCCCCTAGACCAAGAAAAGTCTGATAACTCAAGAAAGAAGTTCCTAAATCCGAGTATCTGCTGGAGGTGGAAACACTAAAGATTAGGTGGACAATGGTGGTGAAGATGTGAACTGAAAAACTAATCCTGACTCAAGGATCTATAGTGTCTATGGATCCATGGTTAAGGTTTTCCACATGTCTAGAAATTTTCAGAGCCACGAATCTACAGCCCCCAAAGGCATACATTAGTCTGTCACAGCTGGCAGCACTCTAACTGAGTGGAGGAACCTTGTTGATATGGACTGAATCTATTCTTGGTACCAATGGACCAAGGGGATGATGTCAGGGGCCAGGACCCTCAAATAAGGACTAAAATATGACCCTCTGTAAAAGCTGAGGAAAGTAGAGGCACCAATGAGAATAGGGATGAATACAAAAGCTGACAAATGAACCAATATACATGCTAACAATGGTCCAAATCATCATCCAATTGATGGGATGATCCTGAGAGTCTTTTGTACCAAAGTTGAAGGGATAATATATATATCTTAGCACCATATATAGGGTAGATGAATCCTAGAAAGTTGTGATCAATTCAGTTTGACAATAGATTCCATTCTAAAACCCCAAATTTTCAGGAGCAGGTGTATTCTTTGAGAATCTGAATATGCATCCACTTGGTAGTGGTAGGCTAAATCACTTATTTTCGACAACTGTGGTGGATAAGGTGTAGCTGTCCTTTCATGTAAATGAGTAGTAAACCAACCTGCATGAATCGCAATATAAGTGGATGGAGAAAGAACTCAGTATTCGCTCCTAGACCTTTCAGCCATCAAGGAAGGTAGAAGCTCAAAAGCAACTGGGAAAAGACCAAAAACATCACACACTAGATGGACTAACTGAAGAAAAGGAGCTGGAGGCAGCTGATTCCAAAGTCAGCCATTATATGACATGTATTCCCGGATTATTGTTTTCAGCATGGAGGCACATCAGGTCTTTCCTCTCCCACCTCTGATATCTAGCATTACTCAACAATCGGAGGGGAGGGGAGTCATTCTCAGTTGAGCCTGTCAGTGGCCTTATTTGTAGTGAGATGGAGACATATGTTCAGTTCAGTGGTATTTCTCCAGGGTGCTCTGAGGCTGCAATTTAGGGTGATCTTGGACATTTAGGAGAGAATTTAGATTCGCTTTTTTTCTTGTACCTTCCTTTATTCTGTCAGCTTCTCAGGAGGTCAATGAATGGATTTTTTTTCTTTTTTAACGAAAATCAACTAGGTAACACGAAAAATGTTCAAAGTATCTTCAATAGTTGTAGTACAGAGAAACCCATTAGTGAATGCTTGTTGAGAAAAAGTGATAATATTATCTGAATAAGGTGCTTATATACTGTACCAAGATAGAGGGCGCATTAATGTAAGACAAGACAAATATTACCAAGGGCAATAAAAGACTGGAGCAGGTGAGAAAAATTCAGACCAAAGCTTAGATGGGCAAAGGAAGGAAACCCTAGCAGTCGAGTAATAGCTGTAGTGTGAGAGGAAATAAGTAACTTTTGGAACATATATTACTTAAAGAGAAATTCACTTTTATAATCTCTTCAACCTGTAAACTTATTCCTAAAATCAGAAATCAAGCTTGACAATTAAAATTACTTTTATGGTATGATCCAACAACAGTTATTGTTCATTAATTTCATTAATATATATGTAATAAGCACTAACAGGTACATAAAGTGAAGCATGCTATACAGAAGTGGACAGTGATCTTTTCCACTGGCAGGTCAGGTGATACCTTGAGCATATAACCTCCCTTAATTTTGATGGGAATAACCAACAGTCAAAAGTGTAAAGCATGTATCCTGAGAAGAAAAGCATTTTTTGTGTATATATTGCTATTTTTTTCTCAATCTGTAAAACCAGTCTTCTTCTTATACTTTTTTCTTAGAGGTTTCTCCAGTGAAGGTGTCATGAAACACTTCTATTTTTAATTTGACTGTTTTTGTGGGTATTAAATAAAGATAGTTTCAATTTGTTTTACACTGTATTCTAACTTGGTCGAAGTCAAAGGATTCAGATTTACTCTGTTACACATATTCTGGCAGACTTTCTGCTATTTTGTAAAACCTACCTTATTAATCTTAAGGAAAATCAGTGCATCTATGAATAAAACTTGTAGATCTGTATTTGCTTTTATGGCAAAGCTACTAAGGTTACCTGCTATCATCCCTAATTTTGAACTACTGACCAGAGGGAAGGCAGCCAGTCAGAAGCACCCTACAACCCACAGTCAGGATTGACCATCATTATTATAACAAACCCACAGTTTAAATTATAGAGAATATTTTGTAGCATCAGATGGATTCAAACACAGCTCATTAACTTCAAAATCCAGAGGGCCAACTACAGGACCAACTCACACTCATCACTTTTGAAAGCCATAAGACTTGCATAGAAAATTTAATTAAACTGAGAAACTCATAAAATTGAAATAAATCTTCAAAGTCCATACAACAATTAATTAAATACCAAAACTTAGATTTTCTCTCCTCGGTGGTTGATCTACATCGAAACATGTACCTGTAGAGATTTTAAAGTGGAACTCGTATGGCTCCAATAAAAGTTTTTATTGTGTAAATATAAAACATTGTTTTTAATTAATTATTTATTATAATTTTAGCAAAAAAAAAAAAGTAGAAAAGTATCATCAATGCATTTTCTATATAATAATGGTTTGTAAAAGAGAAAGTATATATGAAGACCTGGTGCCCTTAATGACAGAGAAAAATATTTGCGAGAGCCAGACCTAGGGGTGATCCTATCACCTCTCTGTCGATCTGATAATAAAACTGACAATTAAAAACAAAGTGATTGTCCTTGAAAGTAATTTAAGAAACTCTTCAACTTTTTTTCAATTAAAGTTAGAGAGCAGGACATCTTTGTTGAGGATAACTGTTTATCAATTCTTTGAATTGTTCCCTTACATAAATTGTTGGTGAAGAAAGACTTGGATATCTCTTGAGCAAAGAAAAAAAAAGTCTTCAATAGTAAATTTATTTTCAGTTAATATTTAGCAAGTTTGTAGATGTGGGAGCTGGGAGTAGGAAGAATATTTCTATGAGTCAGCTCTTATGTTTAAAATAAATAATGACTTACTTTATCAAAGTGCAATATTTCAATTTCATCCCTATAGGTTATTCTTTTCTTCCCTATGTTTCCATCATTCAGATGTGGTAGAACACAGTTTTCTATAACATTCAGTAACAAAAATATAATTGTTAACATTTTCATTACCTGAAAATGTATTTCAGATAGATACTTACCACTCTGCAACACTAAGAAATATTACCTTGAGCACAACTGCCACAGAATTTCCTGCACATGCCCCAAGTCATAAACAAACTTCCACTCCTACATGTTGCGCCAACCTATGACATAATCATCATAATATTATAGCACTCTACAAATACCACAGCCTTCATTTATGGTATTCCCCATGGAAATTAGCATATGATCATAGACTCATTCTTTCTTCAGCAATGTTTATGTTCAGATATGTTTTTTCTGTGCTTTTTGGGTTTTTAAATCTCCTTAGGTCATTCTGTCTTGTTGAAACAGATATTGTAATGACAGGTAGAGGAAGAAAGAGCTCTCATCTGCATCATGAGGCAAATCCAAGTCCCATCTGGCTGGACATATCCACTTGGAACTGCATGGGAGATAATGTAGTAGGGTGTTCTATACCACACTTTCAAGGAACACCCTAGCCCCATATCTCAAATGAGGTGTGGGCCCAACTGGTCTTTTTTTGAGGGGAAGACACCACTCATAGATAAAGCTCTCTATATTGACATACCCAGCAGTTTGATACTAGGTAAGTAAAGGTTCTCCCATGTTTCACTAAAAGAATGGGGGAATACGCATTAGGGAGAACACCAAAGAGTGTGCGTAAACCACTGTCATCACGCACAGTCATTTGGAATTGGTTTCCCACTCGGAGACAGTGCAATGGGTTACTACTACTAAAGACAGTAAGCATGAGACAGGTTTAAAAGCAGGACAACAACTGATGTTGTTCATTTCTTTTTCTTTCTTGTAAAATGTGCAGAAATGGCCAAGTCAGTTGTAGAGGTATACTTCTAAAGCAGTCTTGCATAAAACTCTATCTCATCAGTGGGCACTGAGCATGGATGAATGGGTTTAATGCTTTCCAATTCCTCTCTCCCTCCCTGCTGGATGTGGATTTCAGGTAAGCATTTCCTGTGAGACAAGGCCAGATGGTACCAAGTGTAAGGAACATAGGGTGTAGTTCCTCATGTAACATTTGACCTGGTGGGTCTTGCCTCCTCCAGGTTTTTTTATTTTGTTGAGGAGCTTGCAATTTGTTGGAATGGGTACAAAAATTATGGTACAAACACATGGATGTCCCATAAAATATATGAATGACATGAAGATGACTGAAAAACACAACAGGCAAAACCCATCACACTAGAGCCTCTAGCTGGACTGAAGAATGGTGACTGGAGGGAAGCAAAAATCAGAGGCATGTGAAACCAGCCAATGATGTAAGTAACGGGAGATGAATGTGTCAGGTGTAATCCACATATTAGCCTATAAGGTCGCCTACAAACACCAACAATGAAAGGAGGCAAGAGGCTGCGATATGCTGAATTCGGTGGGAGGAGAAACAAAAGAATGTGTGGTCAGACTCAAACAAAGAAGATTGTGCTAGATGGATGTGCTGGTGAAGAAACAACAAGTTAAAGTGGAAGGTGACACAAGTCCTGAGAGGAGGAAGTTGGTCAAGGTAAAAGTAGGTGATAGTGATTTATACAAAAATGGTAAGCCTGAGCAAGGTAGCAATGGACAGCCTGTACAGGACACAAAAGACAATTGGGATCAGAATGATTGTACAATGAGTAAATAGAGGAGAGAGATATAGGAGAAAAATCTGATTGCATCCAATGGCAGCCCAGGTTTTTGAAAAAAAGAAGCAGTCCAGAAATAACATCAATTGTTCCTGAAATAAAGATTACAGGAGGTGTCCAAGGTGTAAATCTTCAAATGATAATGACCATAAGAAAGGAGAAAAGAATATCTCGAGAGAAAAATGATATAAGCAGGAAGCTAAAGGCTCAAAGGGACAGTTAAGAGCCCAAAAAACCACACAAAGGTCTCAATCAAGAAATGGGACCAGACAAGGAGGGTAACAGACCTTAAAGATGATTGTGAGAACAGGCAAAATGAAGGGATTATCACCAAGCACAAGGTGGAATGTTGTAGATATCACCACCCAGTAACCTGCAATAATTGAGACAGACACTTTTGTTAAAAATCCAAGTAAAGAAGGAAGTAAGATGTGGAAGAATCGGATGACAAGCCAAAGACACCAGCAGCAGTTGACAGCCCATTTATATTTAGAGAGCTACTCTGTAGGAAAATCACATATGTCTTGCATAGGACTGAACAGCCAAGGGAACGGGCTTGGAAAAATCAGGACTAGCGAAACCACAGCCAAGGGAACGGGCTTGGAAAAATCAGCAATGAGCCTGAGGTTGATGGAGGAGGGACCTCCAAAGAGGTGTCCTGGTTGACAGATAAAGCAGAAGAGGAAAATGTGACTAAGCCAGCCATAGAGGAGAAATCAGAACTTGATAAAGGATCTCAAATGAGAGTTTGGTTTGGTTTGAATTTTGCACAAAGCTACACAAGGGCTATCTGTGTTAGCTGTCCCTAATTTAGCAGTGATAGACTTGAGGCAAGGGTCAATACCACCCACCATCAACTCTTGGGCTACTCTTTTACCAATGAATAATGAGATTGACCATCACATTATAATGCCCCCACAGAAGAAAGGGTGAGCATGTTAGGTGTGATGGGTTTTCGAACCTGCAGTCCTCAGACTGCAAGTTGAACATCCTGACCACCAAGCCACCAAATGATAGAATTTGCTGGTGAAGAAGGCAAAGAAGAGGGTAGGCATAAAGGAAAAGATTGGACCAAGATGCTCAGAGCATCTACAGCCAGAGCAGTTGAGCCTGGAATGGGTGACCAAAAGAGGGGAAATTTGGAATTGAGGAAAGTCACAAAAGCATCAACCTGAGGGGTGCCAAGATGGGAAGAATTCAATAGAAAACTGAAAGATGCAAGAACCATTCTGTGGGATGGATCCTGTCCAGACAAGACAAGCAATTCATCACCATGTTCAGAACAAGTGGGATATGGTATACCATAAGGTGAATATGACAAGTGTAGTTCCAACACAGGAAATACAGACTGAGAAACACAGGCCCAGAAAACAGATTCCTCCTTTGCTGTTGATGTATGAAATGACTGTAGAGTTGCCTGAGCAAGACAAAGGTCATGGAAGTAAGAAGAAGGTAGGCAAACACTCAAACGGAAAGCATCCCAACTAAGGAGATCTCAAAAACCAGTGAAAAGAGAGAGTGCAGATAAATAAGTAGAAGCCAAGGTGGAAAAAATAGGAAAGAGCATCCCAACAAAACTATATGGATCATGATGAAGAGCCTCAGAAGAAAAATGAGGAGTGCCCAAAGTTGACAGAAGAGAGTCAAGAGACTGGATTTCTAGAAAAATAGAATGGTAAAGACCCCAGGCCATAGAATAAGAGTCACGAAGATGAGGAAGACGTGGAATAGGCTGATCAATGAGAAGATGGAAAAAATTATTGGCATGGGCATGATTGCCAAGGAGGTGGGGAAAAAAATAAAATTGTCAACTAGAAGGTCATAAAGTAACGGAGCTCGAGGCTTTGGGATTGACAGGAGAAAGGCAAAGAATGTCACATACCTAAGTAATGAGTGATGCAAACAAAAGAGGAGGAGACATCTATTCCTCATCAAGAAAATAAGAATCAGAAGCAAAAGCTAGAGGAGAAAAATGTTGGTTAAAATCATCCAAAGGTAATGAAACAAAACAAAAAGAAACTAAAACTAAGAAGATGAAGCAGGGGATAGGGAACCACCCTCCTGATGTGCAATAACTGTAGAATCATGAACAAACAGATAATGTGCCTCCAGTAGTCACTGTGGCAGGTGTAGAGGAGTCTTGAAGATGAACATTAGAGTCTCTGGACATAAAAGCAACGTAAACATGTAAATTCATAGAAAAGAGTTGACAACACTAACAAAAATGGGCAACTTTTTGTCTTTGTTTAGATTTTTTTTTTTGTATGGAAACTAAATGAAATAAATGTGCTGACTATAGGGAGCATGAAATTGCAAACAGGTGAAAGGGATGCCAAAAGAAATAAAGAAGAAAACTGATCAAAGTAGCAGAAAAACTCAAAATGCACAGGAAAAAAAAAAGCCGGAAGACAGGCAATGCAAAGGAAAGAATAAGTCTATGATCATGTGCTAGTGGATACAGGAATTACTGTGCATGGAGGTTGTGTTGCCCACCTTTTGGCAGAGGGCTACAGCATATGACAATGTTATAGGTTAGCACAATACACATAAACACGTGTAGAAGTGAGAGTTTATTTAAGGCTTATGGCATGTGCAGGGAATTCCATGGCAGTTGCATGCAAGGAAATAGCTCTTAGTGGTGCATAAGTAGCATTTCTGAAACATAAGAATTTAACATGTTAAAATGAATGTCAACCCCTGACAATATTCTGCTACCACCTGATATCAAGATTATCATCAGGGTAACAATATTAGACTCAGTCCACCACAGATTTAAGCATGTTATTAAAATGTCTTGATTGCCTGCTTACTTCACTCAGCTAGTCAATTCATAAATGATACCTTGTAATTAAAATGACATTTTTTGTAACAAATTCCAGAAAGAATTAAGAACTCATTAAATTTATCACTTAAAAATCAAAATACTTTACTAAAATAAAAGGGCCTTACTTTGAACTAGTTTTTAGAACAATATGTTTCAAACATTTATATACTTGTAAATTGAAGTTAAACACTCATTTCTATTGAACAATAGTTTAATAACTGAAAATACTGTACCTAAATATACTTTAATTCTAAATTTAACATCAATTTAATTCCAAAGCAAACTGAGAAACACACCAAATCTTTTGAAATATTTACATAAATGCTATTATTATGTTTTTTAAGACAATTTTTTTTCATATTTATATAATAAGCAAATTAATCAATCTCATTAAAATCAAATATTAAGCATCACGTAATTTGAGCAAACATGTATTAAATAGGTATTCACTTTAAATAGGTATTCAAATCAGTGATAGCTCAAAAGCATTAAATGA